AGAAGGCGAAGAAGAAAATACTGATATTGGAATGCACCGGCTCGATGAGGTGACAGCGCAGTGACTCATTCACGGAGGCTGGATGTGCAGTAGGGCGAGGAGAGGCTGGTGGCCACTGCGCAGGTGCCTGCTGGATGCTTGGCTTACAGCCTGCCAGGAGAAAAAGGGAGTAGTGGGAAACTCAGCCGCAAGTGATGACACCTGAAACTTATTGCTCAAAGTATGTCAGCATCAGAACTTCATAAATGTGCTGCTGTTTGTTTATAGGGTTCTAGACTAAACGCTCATTGGTATCTGTACTGTCAATATTCCCTGTGTAGAATTAATTGAGGACCCCTGGCTTCTGGTCGCACTGGCATGTACAGTGACACTCCACAAGTCGGGACTCAGTGGCGTAAATAGGTCCACATCTGAGCTCATAAAGCAGAAATTCTGTTGCTCTACATCACTATCACCTGCTCTGTATTTTTAAAATGTTTATTTATTGTGATGGTGTTGGCACATGAGTGGATTTATGTCTACCAGGTACGTGCAAGTGTCTCCAGAAGGCCAAAAAGGGGTTTACTTGGAGAACATAATGTTTTTGACAATAGGTGGTTAAAATATTTTAATCAACTTATTTCACTTTTAATAGTAACAGTAGCAAAGAAATAAATATTATGCATATAGCAGAAGAGTCTTTAAAATATGAGCAAATTTAACTCAAAGGCCACTTTATGCTTTACCTTTCAGAGAAAAATCACGAGATAAGTCAAAATTGGTAGGCACTTTCCTAATCAGACAATACAATTTAATATTTTATGTTATAAATGTTCATGTATTTTATACATTTGTATAATTGATTTCTTTAAAAGGAGACAAATTTTGAAAGTAAATATAACATTCAAGATTAGGTGTAAAAATTCACATTTGAGCTGACACTTTAGTTTATATTTATTAAAATTTCAAAACCTTGCTGATCATAATGTGTAGAAATCTTTTACTCACTTTGTACATATGCTGGTTAGTTTCAACCGTCAACTTGACATAACCTAGAGTCATGTGAGAAGGGAATTACAATGGAGGGATTGCACATATTCATTAATCTGTGGGCGTGTCTGTGGGGACTTTCTGTATTTCCCAGCCCACGGCGAATGGCACCACTCCCTGGCCAGGGGATTCTGGACTGTGCGAAAGGAAAGCTAGCTTAGGCAGAACTACGTAGACAAGGAAGAAGGCAGGCAGGCAGCATGGGTGCCCCGCCTCCCCCTGAGCTTGGCTGTGCACATGGTGGGACGACCCACTTGATTTTCTGTCTTGGCCTCCCTGGAGTCATGAATTGTGGTATAGAATTTTGAGGTATGTAAACCCTCTCTCCCTTAGGTTGCTGTTGTTCTGAATATTTTATACAGTAACAGGAGTGAAGCTAGGATAGAATATAGCCAGATGTTGTAACGGAAATGGCTCAAATATATGTGAGCCTGAACGAGGCTGCACAGGTATCACATACTGAAATCTATTTGTAAGGGCATGTTTTAGAAAGGAAACAAAGGGTTCGGAATTCTGAAAGCAACCTTCAAGGCGATGTTATATAAAAGGCAGAATAGAACTCAGGAGGCAGTGTCCTGGGTCCATCAGGCTTGAGTGAAAGGTGGAAAGAGAGGAGATCCTCTTTGAACGAAGTAGCCATCATAAAAATGAAAACTATTGTCAAGAGAGTGGCCTGGCGTGAGTTACAATTTACAGATTGGCAGAAGTTCAGTTTAATACAAAGGGAAGGGGGATGACCCACTTGCGGAGTCGAGAAGTCTTTCAAAAGGCCGTGCCGCTATTTTATTCCTTTTCCACCGAGAATTTTGTAAGCAGCAAAGGAAGCCAAGAATGTTTGAAAAATGAAACAGAAAACAGCATTCTTGAGCCCTATTATAAAGGAAAAGGGCACAGGATAAAAATAGTGTCATGTCCCGACTTAATCATTTAATAAGCCCTTCCTGATACAGTATTTGAGTTAAACACCATTATGGCTAGACCTATTGTAAGAGGCTATTTTTTTTTCATTTTCTTAACAATACGTGTACCCTTTAGTAATATAAATTTCACTGGGCAGTGGCTAAATATACAAGAACTGATTTAAGTACTTAATCACAACAATAATATTTATAAACCTGATATCGTTGTGTTGGCTCACCCTTCTTACTGATCCACAAGCATTTAAAAGCAGTGACTGATTCACTGTTTTGTGGAGTTAGTTCGAAACACATATAAAAAAAATTGAAATAATCTTTCCTCTTGGGCCAGAAATTTCCCCACTCTTAAAGTGCTTTTATTAAAGGTTATTCTGTGCACAATAATGACTTAGTGGCCATAAGTGACCTAATTAGTAAAAGTGAGTTATTAAGTAATGTCGAAAACAAACAATATCCAAAATAATTAGTTTTATTCAGGCACCTGATTTTGTGTCTTCTTGTTGCATCTAGTTATTTATTTATTCTATTAAAGATCATGTTGACGGCTGATGTCTTTGAACATTTTCAGCCCAAATATTTGCTATCATGTATTAACTGTGACTTAGAAGTGTCCAGCATTAGTATCTTGGATAAAACTACTTAGAATAAATACTTCAAATTCAATGTTTTACATGAGATTGAGGTAGACAATTTGAGCATTTTGATACTTGAAATAGTTACACAATCCACTGCACATTTTCTTATTCTCCCTACATCTTCACAGTTGAACCGAAGTATAAAATTTCATCAACAGTTTCGACTATGTCTAGAATATGGATTAGACATTTCAGCAAGCCCTCTACTGCTGTTCATCTGCCTCTGGCCCCTTTTCTCCTATTAATGCAGACTCATATTCGTTTGCTATGGTCTCTAGGCTTCACTAGACTTTACCCTTGAGGATGAAGAACCTTGTCTCAACTGAGTGCTATTTCACCTTCAAGATATTAAGAACAGAGAATGAAACAACAGTAAACCTAGTGTTTGTTAGATATGTAAATGAGGAAATGCAAACCTATTCTTTTTTTAAATTTGTGTGTGTGGTAGATATATGTGCGCATATGCAAAGCGCCAAAGCTGACACTGGGTTTCTCTATTGTCCCCGACTCGACTAGGTCTTGACACAGTAGTGTCCCTGGCCGAATCATAAGCTTGCCCTTTAGGCTGTACCTGCTGGCTAGCCAGTCAAAACACTGATTTACCTAGCTGCTTTCCAGAGCACTGACTTTGAATGTGCACCACAAGCCTTTAAACAGGTGCCAGAACCTCTTCAGGCACTTTCCTGACTCTGTCATCTTCTGCAAACCTAGCTCATGTCTCTGCTTTGTGCCTTTCTCAGGGGCACAGTATATTTTGAAACACTATAATCAGAATTTTTTTTTCCAGCAAGGGTTTTCAAATTTTTGAAGGTAGCCCAATGAAACAGGACATCCGTATTCATGATGTCCATGAAGCAAAAGTGTCTTCAATGAACTTGATAGCGAACTTTCTTAGGTTCTGTGTTTCATTTTATTCACAAAATAAAAATAGTGCTGGCACTGAAATGAAGTAAGCCACATAATCATACTCTTTGGTATCAGATGGTAGTGTGACTTGAAAAGTCTGTACTTTCATAAACCTCCCCCTTTCTCAGCCACGTCTGAGGAATGGCTATTCTGTATGTCCTCTACCCTAGACTTCCAGGAGCTGGAAGGCCTAAAAGAGGTTTGAACTTCTGTTTATTAAATGTTGTTGGTGAATAGTTGAGGGAAAAAATGTATGCTTGGATTTAGACTCATCTACAAAAAAAAAAAAAAAAAAAAAAAATCACAGTCCAAAAATTATTTCATATAATTCTTATCACAGTCACACAAGCTAAGAATTGTGACTTGTATTTTGTACCTAAAGACATGGAAGTTCAAAGGTCCAGTGCTTCCTCCTTCTGGTTCTTGACCTCTACCCAAATGTGCCCCTTAATTTCTTGTTTCTTATGCACACATATAAATCTAGAAAACATGCAATAATCACAGGATTTTGTTTGGTTTTATTACACGCGGTCTCTGCATAACCCAGGCTGGCCTTCACTGTACAGCTTGACGGCCTTGAACTCCTGATCCTCTCGCCTTTACCTGGAAAGCACTGAGATTGCAGGCACCTACCACTACATGAATACATGTTTATGTATTCATTCATTTCCTGTTGTTTGAGACAGAGTCCCACCCTTCAGCCCTAGCCGACCTGGAAAAGGGTTATGTGAGCAGGCTGGCCTTCAATTGCCTGCAGTCTTTTCTGCCTCCGCCTTGAGGTATGCAAACAGTTCCTGCTTCTCTCCCTGAATCTCGATGTTTCACTTAACGTGACTGTGTCGGCTACTGCACTTACTGTAGGAAAGGTCGCAAATACATATGCGTGTTATAGAAATGGTGACTAACTGTGTTTATCACTCTAACCACCTGTGAATCAGCTCACATCTTGCTGACTGGGACCTCAAGGCAAGCTCAGCATGGGCTTCTTAGTGATTGCATTTTCCATTGAGAGTAGGGTGAGGTCTCTGCTCAGTAGACTGATGGGGCTTCCACTCACCTCTAGAGGAGTTCTATCCTCCCTTCGCTCCTTCTGACCACTTTGTGCCCTGCTCCTGATCAGTTTCTACAAGACCCTCGGAGATGGGAAGGTTCTGGCCGGCCCATCTTCAAACTGGGCATGCCCAGCTTTGGCTGGGACTGCAAAAGCCAGGATTTTGTGATCCCTGCTCCCAGTCCCACTGCCTAGCAAAACCACAGCCTCCTTTCCCCAGGAGGGGCAGACGCAGCTCCGCCCGCCCCCTGCAGCCTGCGCTGCGGCAGCCGGCCACCGGAGGGGGGCGAGCCCACGTCAACCTGTTGTTTGTCCAGTCCCTATTGATCAAGTCAGCGCCACAAGGAAGTGCGGCACCCACACGCGCTTGGAAAGTTCAGCATGCAGGAAGTTTGGGGAGAGCTTGGCCAGTAGCTGGGCGGCCCGGGCAGCGCTCACCAGCGCAGGCGGTGAAGGCGTGGGGCAGCGCGGCGGCGGCAGCAGCGCTCCACCGGCTCAACCCGGTGGGCTTCATCTATTTATTTAGTTAGTTAGTTTTGGAGCGACGCTGTCCCTAGGTCGCTGATCCCAAATGCACCGGCTTGTCTTCATCTCCATTCTCGTGTGCGCGAACTTTTGCAGCTACCGGGACACTTCTGCGACTCCGCAGAGCTCATCCATCAAAGCTTTGCGCAATGCCAACCTCAGGAGAGAAGGTAAGGGACTCATTTGATTTGTGTTCTTCATTGAAAAGGTCACATTTTCTATTGTCAGGGTCCTTTGGGCTATTCACCCCGCCCCCAGCAACTCCGGTTTGGAATTTTTCGAAAGAACTCAGGAGGAAGGCACTGTTCTTCTGGAGGGAGGGATTCTCCTGCCTGGCCCCCAGCTCATACAGCCCCTCCTTCCAGAGAAAGAAGAGAGTGGGTGAAGTGTCCTGGGGGCCAAGGGGTGGGAGGCGGCCAGTAGGACAGTAGGACGGGTCAAGCAGTTTTCTTCCCTGCACATTAGAAGCCATGGAGGTGTGTCCTGGGTTGATACCAGGATAAGGGTGCCTCCTTCCAGGGTTTGAAAGCTGCCTGGCGTGCTCACCTGGGTCAGACTAACCTGACTCTAGTATAGACCAAGCATTGTGGTAGGTGGTGGAGTCCAGTGGTCTTTACTAGATGACATAATTCGGATTTGCTTATCGTGCTTAGGAGAGGAGGAATGACACATTTCAGCATTGTGGTTATTTCTGCAGCAGATTGCCAATGTATGTGCCACTTACTTACAGAGGCCGGTGTTGCCCTTCAAGTTCCTCAAGTGACTTTCCTCAGAGTTAAGAAAAGCTCAGGAACTCCAGAGTCTGGGAGGCAGGGCTTCTGGAATTTCCTTGTACTGCAGGGGACCTGGCTTCTTTTGTTGGATTCCTTTGTGCTGAAGTTTTCCAAGCTCCTGAAATGGCTGTCCTAAGAAAAGTCCTGAGCAGGCGTGCTTGTTTTCCTGTCCTGTGGAAGACACGTGGGTCAGTGGTTCCCAGAGACTCCAAATTGAGTTTGTTTTTCTCCTGAGGCTTAATGGCCCAGGCCTTTTTGGCTTTTGTTTTCCTACATGAATCTCATTCTCTTTTACTTGCTTAAAGTACCCAGAGCCACCACTTTCCCCCACACCACGACCTCACCCACAGTATGAGGTCATCACCAAGTATTCTTGGTGGCTTCAGCACCTGAGTTGGCAACATTTGACAATCTTGAAAATTTATAGGAGCCGCCTTAGTCGCTCATCAGCTCATCAGAGTCTTTTTTTATATGAACTGAATTCAGACTTCTTAAAAAGATCTTAAAATTTGAGTGAAAAAAAAAAAAAAACACTTTGCTATGCTTTCTGATAACAGGTAGAATGATTGGCAGTCTCTCCAAGTTTTCTGAAATGTTAGGTGTGTGGCCCAGGAACTCAATTCTCTACTGGATAGCAGTGTTTTGTGTAAAATATAACACTAGTCTATTTTTGAGGACCTCCCTCATTATTAAAGCAAGGAAGAGTTTGCCCTCAACTTTAAAGCAAATGTGGTTGAGTGTCAGTGCATTTGGAAGCTCGTTTTGCTGGACAGTGTCTCCAGTATGGACAGATCTTCTTTGACTTTTCAGCTGTGCTAGTAATTATCCTTTATTTGCCTTTTAGGCTTCGTAGAGTTAAATGCCATGTTGATGCATGACTTCATAGCTATAATTTTGTAACCCTCCCAAGTATTGGTTACAAAAAGTCAAGAACAGAAAATGAAAAGCATGCAGCCTTTGCTTATTAACCCAAGAATCTGACCCAAATCCAGACAGACTGCTTGGAGGGTTTTCATGCCCCCTCCCCCTTTTTGTTGAAGAACACACTCTGATTTTAATTTTCTTTATTGGAAACTCTGTGTATCTATCTAGTTTACATGGAAACTTTTCAAAATACTGATGACATCTCCAGATTTCTTCACATGTTCACTAAAGCTATTTCACAGTTATTCCAAGTGTATACACACACACACACACACACACACACACACACACATAATATTACTGAATATTTTTCTCTTTACCAATCTTACTTTAAGAAAAGGATTAGGAAGTAGTGAAAATCCAGTCATATTTATAGAAGAAAATAGCAACACTCGTAATGGGATTTTAGTTTCTGGATAAAGATAGCTCAAAGGGGTAAGGATGAATTGTAAGGGCTGAAAGTTGAAAGACTGGGTATTACAGTAGAATGTTTTTCCAAATAATGTATTTTCATTACCTGTGAACATATAATTTAGTATATCTGTAATGTTAAAAAAAAAAAAAACAGAGGGCAGGAGGATGGTTGAAAGAAAAAAACTCTAAAAATGATCTTTGAAGGGATCTTGGGAATAATGGAAAACAACTGGCTGAGTGGCAGCCAGAGAGTTTTGTTGAGATAGCCTCTGTACATTCTTTCCAGCTCAATGTCGGCCTCACTAAAGGAACCATAAGGGGAGGGCAGGTGTCTGATAGAAATGGTTTCCGATAATCTGCAAGGACTGACTTGGTATCTTTGGTAACATCACTGAAGTTCTTAATCCAGATCAGGAAGAAAGTTAAACTTATTATATCAATTTCTCACTTATTCACATCTTTAGTATGCTTCCACACTTTCCTTCATAGGTCATTAATGAAGATGGCATTTTGCAATTTTGACTCTCAGACGAAAACAGCTTAGGAGTCCGGGGAGGATGTGCAGGAGAAATATGCTCAGGGGAAACACAGAAAACAAAATCTAATCAGCATTATTTACGGATGTGGGCAATAGTCACTGAAAAGCCCGAGTGGTATGGGCAGGTGTGTGGAAGCCCTTATCTGAAGGTAAGGCTACACTCACACTTGAATGCCATGTGCTTGCTCTTCACAGTTCTGTTAGTTGCTGCCCAGTTTCGGGCTCACAAAAGGAACTACAAGAGATAAGGGCAGGTGCCCTGTGAGATGAATATTTTTATTGTTATTTTCTGATTGATGCAATCAGTTTGGGTTTGATCAGCCATATCTAATAACACAGATAATGGGGGAAGTTAAGAAATGATATAAAGATCTTAGGTTTATAAATGGTAGGCTCTTGTTATAAGGTGATTGGTCTTCTAGAATGTCCTTTCACAATACTGCCCTGCTGTGAAACAAGAACTCTAGATCCTTCCATTCAGAGAACTAAAGATGGCCATCAGAGGAAAGCAAAAAATTTGATTCAAGTGAGATTTTATAGCTATGGAAGAATACATTACAATATATTTAAACATTTAAGTCACTGTTTATATTTCCTTATAATGTATTATTAATTGTTGTTCTTGCTCAAATTGAGTTACATTAATCCTATCTCTAAACCTAGTCCCGATGCTAATTTAAGAGCCACACTTTATTGTAGTGTCTATACAGTTGACACTTTCAGAATAACAGCTTCTTACAATGGGTGATGTTCAGACTGATACCAGGAAGAAAAATAGCCACAGTTAAATGACATTATTAATTATTCTAAAATCTAACTAGACAGCACTTTCTGCCTAGAGATGCAAGAATACAAATCCCTCTCCAAGTATAAATGTTGCTGGTAAGCAACAATTTTAGATTGTTCCTTTTGGCTAATATGCCAGTAATTGAATTGTCTCCGACTTCACCATTAGCTAGGGTGAGATCTACAGGATTTTCTAAAGCAGCAAGCTTAAGTCTTAAGCTTTCTAGGGGCATACAGATGACAGAGATCAGCAATGAAAAGAGATGGCAACAAACCAGGAAAACATAAGCCATCTCATGAAAGTGTCTGACAGCTAAGGGCCACAAGGGTGCCTAAATCTTGCATTCAGTTGTTTTTATATTTTCTGTTCAGTTCTAAGAGTATTGAAGCTTCAAACTTTATGATACATATATGTGTTTTTTTTAACCTCTGTTGAATGTTTGTTTGTTTGTTTGTTTATTTATTTTCTGATTGCAATTTTTTTATTAATTACACTTTATTCACTTTGTATCCCTCCATAAGCCCCTCCCACCTCTCCCTCAAACCTACCCTCCCTCCTCCTTCTTCACGCATGCCCCTCCCCAAGTCCACTGATAGGGGAGGTCTTCCTCTCCTTCCTTCTGATCTTAGTCTATCAAATCTCATCAAGAATGGCTGCATTGTCATCTTCTGTGGCCTGGTAATGCTGCTCCCCCCTCAGGGGGAGCTGATCAAAGAGCAAGCCAATCAGATTATGTCAGAGGCAGTCCCTCTTCCCATTACTATGGAACCCACTTGGACACTAAACTTCCATGGGCTACATCTGTACAGGGGTTCTAGGTTATCTCCATGCATGGTACTTGGTTGGAGTATGAGTCTCTGGGAAGACCCCTGTGTCCAAATTTTCTGGTTCTGTTGCTCTCCTTGTGGAGTGTTTTATGTGTTTTAAACACAGTATGACTTTGGCTTTGTAACTGCATAGCTGGAAGTACTTAATGACAATTCTTTTCAAAGGCGGATGTAGGGCTAGGGAGCTTCAGTGAGTAAAGAGACTCAAGTTGGTGTCCTTGGAACCAGCTTAAAGCTGATGCAGTGACAGATCTGCTCTCCAGAACTCCCACAGGGAATCAGGAGGCAACGTGAGGAGTCTCTAGACATTTATGAAGAGCAATCCTGGCACCTGAAGGAGGGGGTCGTGATTGCTCGATTCTGTCTTTATTTCAAAGTGGAATACAAGGACCAAGGTTGTGCCATGTAAGAAACAAATGCCACGGTTGTACCATGACCTCCACATGCGTGTGGTGGCATATATGACAGAATTCACATGAATCAGCACAAACAACAGCCGAAACAATAACAATGCACACACAGACACTCACACATACATGATGATATGAACGAAAAGTTACTAAAAAATAAAAAATAATAAAAAAAAATGGCTACAACCTACCAACTGAACTTTCCACGAGGCTGATAAACTGATTAGAAATCTAATGATTGTGGAGAGATTGGAATGTTGCAAGTCCCGAGCCTGAGAGGTCCTTAGCCTTGTGAGTAACCATTTCTTGTCTTGCTTAGTACCTCATCTAACACCTTTGAAAACATTAGTCAAGTCATTTAGAATTTACAAACAAACACCGACACCACCAGTCAAAAGGCTGAGTGTCATCAGGTCGCATTGGAGGCCTATGGAAGAGGTTTTTCTGCTTTGTTCTGCCCATCTGCTTTATTTCTCCCATGCTATGTTTTAAAAGTA